AGCAATGTTTACATTGCTAGATCTAGATCTAGGTCTCTGATATGGGAAGTGAGAAATTGACAAGAAATGGGAGAGACACTAAAGCAAATTAGCAAGCAAGCTCTCACACACACACACACACACACACACACACACACACACACACATACACACACACACACACACACACACATACACACACAGACAGAGAGAGGGATTGTGGGAAGTCCAAGAGTACGGTAGGCATACTTTATGTATTCATGGGTCAAAGGTCCAGCCAATCGTAGCCAGGTTTACACCCTCTGTGTAGTCGCAAAATGTAGGTTAAAGGTTTCTCTACTTTAACTTCCAGGTCGTCGGGTACAATCGCGGTGGGGCTGTAGTGTGCACTGAAACCCCGACCCAATCGGCCCGACCGGACCCGACCCGACCCGATCGCGCATGTGGGCACCCCCTATAACCACGGGGCCAATGAACCCACAGGTTTATGTGAGCGTCATGTGTACGACATACTGCTACCCTAAAATTACTAAGTTCTATCTGCCCTGCATGTTTTGAGATTTGGGATGTAAAAAAATGACTTTCGCATGTAAAGCTTTTTTCTAAGGGGGGGGGGGGGACAGCGAAGTACAGGCAATATCCAGATTGAGAACCATAGATACAGGGTGCATGGAAGTGGAGCCAATCAATTGGAAAACGGAATATTCATCCGCAGACAGGAAAAAGGGGCTAAAACACCACCAGGATAATAATATGTATGGCTGGTGCCTCTATAAATAAATTATTGATGGTCAAGGCCAAGGTTACCACGGAATTTCAAAGTTCTACATCTATCTGCTCAGTATCTAGTCCTGAGAATTTTTACCTAAAAAAATTTGAGTTTCACAACATGTCAATTTTTTTTTTCGAACGCAGTTTTTAGAATATTTTGATAACGACTCCGAATGATCTTACGATTTTAATACATGTAGAACAAAACTCAAAACGGCGAACACTGCCAATCGAATTCAGGCGAATTTAGTCAAGGGCGGTCAGGTTTTTCCTTTGGAGTGGTAAAAGCTACTACTTTGGCACAGTCCGACAGGATTCGACTCTGGCCTTCAAAATCAAACGGATTTGTTTTTCAAAGTCGAGAGTCAAATCAGCCTTATTGTGCCTGAATGGTAGCTGCTGCCTTTCCATGGAAGACAGTCAAGCAATCACCGACTCATTTCGACTGAATTCGATTGGCAGTGTTCAAATTGGAAGCGGACTGCACAGTTTGTGCGCGACATTGGACTGACTGTCTAGCTGCTGTCATCGAGAAGTAGGAAGAAGAAGAAGAAGATTGGCAGTGTGCACGGGATGTTACCCATGCTTGTCGCACACTGTGTCGGCCGGGTGACGACCGCCACCCCGAAACGCGACCCAGACATCGATTCGACCTCCACGCAATGTCCATAATACAAAAAAATTAATAAATT